AACAACAAACTCCAATCACCGTCAACGGGAGAAACTTAAAGGAAGTAACCTCCTTCACTTATCTAGGAATCACTGTTTCAACTACAGGCGGGACGGACGAGGACGTCAAAGTCAGAATCGGAAAAGCAAGACAGGCGTTCATTAGCCTGAAACCAGTTTGGAGATCTTCTGCACTCAGCATGCGGAACAAGATACGTATTTTCAACACCAACGTCAAGTCAGTGCTCTTGTATGGTTCAGAGACTTGGCGCGTCACGAAAGGCATTTCCAATAAACTACAGACATTCATCAACAACTGCTTCCGCTCGCTACTGAAGATCAGATGGCCAGAAAGAATAAGCAACAAGGAAGTCTGGGAACGAACCAACCAAGAACCTATCACGCAACAAATATGCAGGAAGAAATGGAGATGGATTGGCCATGCACTGAGAAGGCCGACTGAGGACATCACGCGTCAGGCCCTCGAGTGGAATCCCCATGGGAAGCGACGAGTTGGACGTCCAAGGGTGACATGGAGGAGATCGTGTGAGGAGGAAATGAGAGCTTCTGGGCTGTCGTGGGACCAGGTTCAAAAGATCTCAGAGAACAGAGGTCACTGGAGGCGTGCTACTGAAGCCCTATATTCCACTAGGAACCCAAGGGACTAATAATAATAATAATAATAATAATAATAATAATAATAATAATAATAATAATAATAGGTATAACAGTGGAGCCACTGGTCATTATTAGTATGGACACTCCATTTCAACGAGTGAGTCATAGGTTCAAACTCTTTTCCATCTGCCGACATCTAGACATTTAGATAGTACCACTAACCTGATGAGTTCATCACATCTAACCATATTTCCTTGATATCCGAAAGATGAAGAACTAAGAAGGTGGATAAACTCATCCGTTAATGTTGCCTTTCAATATAAACTCCATTTTATGATCCTATCTGATTTTCTCATCAACAGTACATCCATCTTTGACGAAGAAAGTGATAACCATATGAATACTACTGAATTTTTAAGAAATTTAGGTTCAATATCTATGTAGTGGCAGTACAATTTCATATGGTATATTAATCCCTTTTAGTTGCACTAGTAAAACCTTCCAGAAATGTACGAAGCGATAATCCCTTCGTCAGACTAGTCGTGGAATTTATCTTTGGAAAGTGAAAGTATACCGTCATGAACCTCTAAATAAGCTTATTCACAGCGAAGATAGGAGTTCTAGCTTCTCTCCCATAGTTAATTACTGCTCTGTATCTAAAACGTACTAATTTTTGGTCAGGGCAGCATCGATAAAAATGATTAAATGTGATATACCCTATGCCCCAGTGGCCTAGTGGATAACGCTTCGAAGTTTGAACTGATAGGTACTGGGTTCGAGTTTCAGTGGGGACAACACCAGTCACTAGGATGCAGGTACATCCAGCTGAAAAGTCCCAAATAGGAAAAAAAGCGCGTCCTGGATTCCACTAACAGTCACCAAGCAGATTACAACACAGAGAATAATACAGCAGTATCGAGGCCTCCACATAGGAGCCCATTTACCAATAGGTGTCGAGTAATTCAACCCAGTATAGTAACAGGAGATTACAAGTATCAAACATAGGTATCTTTTAAACTGTAATTTACAACCTTTTTGTGGAACGATATAGGTCGGGACTATGTAGACAAAGTTGTCGATACGCAGAGAGGAAGAAAGTACGTCCAGTTGGACAGGAGTTGGAAAGATAGCCACACTCCACAGCTGATATGCCTGCCAAACTCAGATCAGTATGCTCACAGTATTCCTAACATTGTTGTTTCTCATACAATAATACGATTGGGAGTAATGCTGCTTGGTTGAAAATGGTTGTGATACTGCTAATAAGATAGGTGTGGAAGTCTAATACTTGAAACATATGTAGAGTGAAAAACTGGTAATTTCATCCAGTGAAGAGATGGGAAGACCCGAGGCTACATTTTTTTGACTCATATCGCAAGTAGGCAATTGACGAACGAATGAAGCGCACTCGGCAGCCTTGTGCATATTCGTGTAGTAGGCAATGAGGTACACCCATTTTGTGAGGGCTAATGATACTGGCTGCCCAAAGCTCACCTCATTAGGTGGAGCGCGACTCAAACCCTTGATCCAATGGTGGTAAACCACCTCCCTAAACCAATGAGTCACAGCTCCACGCAGGTGACAGATTATGTCTAAGACGAATTATAAACCTAATGTCTTACATTGAATCCATGACGGTATGGTCAGGTAGATAAGTCGAAGTAACCAATAGAGGTCAGTCAATGTTATGATGCGGAGTTGTGAGAACGAACGATAATACTTAACGAGTGACAGTTGAAGGTTGAGACGGTTCAACCCAAGTGATTCGCAAAGAGAAATCAAAAGACGGGAAATCAGATGAGTTTATAGTACGTCGAACTGAAAACGTTTATTAATGAAAACGAACCCCATTTTACAGTTTACAGTAACCTTGAAAGTTAAGGAATAATTAGTACATTTAAAGAGACAGGAGCCAATCAGAACACTATGATCAATGCGCGGGAAAAAGAGTGCGAAATTACACAGTTCAAATATACCAAATTCTAAGTATGGAAATGAGTGATGTAGGCATCCCTAACAGTCAGGAAGCCAGATGGTGATAAGTTAGATGAGTAATTTAGAGAGGAAAATTTGCCAATACTATGCAACTATTGGAAAACAATGACACCACAGGTTGGGACATAGTTACAGTCTTAGAAACCGATATAACCAGAAAGAAAACGACAAACTGATTACTGGATCTTTTCTGATCAAATCAATACCAGATATTGGCAATAGTAGTGCATCAGCCCTCATTTGAGAGAGATGGTAAATTTTTGAGTAGTTAGGAAATATTTCGTCGACCTGATTAGAGTCATCTAAACACTGGATGGTCATCTTGACCTTTTAGGGTCGACCTCATCAGCGGTGTACTCAGACACAGTTACCTCATATAGCTAAGGTAGGGGTTTATGACTGGGACCAAGAGTTCGTGGAAGCTTGAATTCCACCACCCCATCACAGATACCACAGTAATCAGAAGCCAAACCCTTATGACTGATTATTCAAATTGTAAATAATTCCATACTAGATTTGCTTATTTGATGTATACAACACATAGGATGTCACAGTATTATTTGTTCGATGACGTTGCGGGCATAAATTATTATTGCTCATAATCAGATCAAGGTATTCACACTCCATTCGACATCTAATTTTTATAGTCCTATTACCTCATATTCTTTGTTCCTTGTGGTAGTAACATTTTCCACACCTCTGATTTAGGTGTTGCGTCATTCCTATTATATGTATTGAATGCTGGTTGATTTGATGAACAAAGATTCAGCAATCAGTCTCTCTCAATTTCCACCTAATTATCTTGTTGGACTTGAGTACAATGGTTTTACCCCACACATCCTTTTGTGTGGGTGTGTGTTCTAGCATGCATTGCAATAGCCGAGTGTCTTTCCAGACTATTGATCTTATTGGGTCTTTCATTCTATATTTAGCTAAGTTCCTATGTTCTGCTAATCAGAAATCAATTAAATATTGACTCAGAATCTACTCATAGAGCTACGATATCAGTTGATGAAATCATATTAGACGTACAGTTGTGCTTGACCTACATAGTTTTCAAGTTTCAGGGGAAAACATATCGACAAACAGAAGGAGTAGCAATGGAATCATCAATATCCCAAATCGTAGCAGATATATTTATGGATAGTTGGGAAGACATAGCTTTACGAATGTTTAGTTTTGCACCTAAGGTATGGTGGTGATATGTGGATGACACATTTACTGCGTTGAAATCAGAACATATCGACAATTTCCTCACATACACAAACTCAGTAGTGGGAGCAATCCGATTCACTTGCGAGGTAGAAAATGAACAAGGAGAATTACCCATGTTGGATTTCAGAATAAAACGAAGGATAGATGGTGGTTTGTATGCTACTGTCTACGGGAAACCGACACATTCCAAAAGATATGCAGACTTCAGGCCATCTCATTCAATGTCAGTCAGTTAAGGCGAGTTTAATCAAATGTCTAAGTGACAGAGCTAAAAACTTTGCTAGTCAGTGCAAGGATCTAAACAAGAAATTGAAACAGAAGAGAAGCATTATAATTGATAATTATCCTCTACAATTTATGAAGAAATCCATAAGAAAATATAAGAATTAAAGTAATAACAGTAATACAAATACGACTAACAACGATAACATAAGTATAAATAGGTTCAAAACTTCTGTGTTACTCTGTAAGGAAGGTACATCAGAAAATTTACACAGGATTCTCAACAAAGCTGGAATTAGGGTAACATTTAAACCTACAAACCCACTCAGAGATAAACTTCGTTGCCTGCCTTAAGGATTCCATAGATTCAATTCAGCAAAATAATCTAATCTATCAAATTCCATGTAATGACTATAAGGTCAAGTACATAGGTGAAACTAGCTAATCGGGGTCAGTTAGATTAGCGGAACATAGGAATTTAGCTAAATACAAAATGACAGACCCCAGTGAAATGAATAATCTGGAAAAACACTCGACTATTGCAATGCATGCGATAACACACAACCAGACAATTGATTACTGAATCTTTGTTCATGAAATTAACCAGCATCCAACACATGTCGTAGAAATGATACAACACCCGTAGCAGAGATATAGAAAGTTTTACTATCAACAGAAACAGAGAGTAAGAGGTAAAAGGACTATAAAAATCAGATATCGAATGGAATGTGATTACATTGATCTGATTATGAGAAGTGATAATTTATGCTCGCAACGTGGTCATCCAGTAAATAATACTGTAACACTGTGTGTTGTATATATCAAATAAAAAAAAATCTAATATTGGAACTAAATTCTACCACAGTGCCCAGGGTTTACACTTATATAAACTGTGAATAAAATCTATAATGAATACATATATGTGGATAGGAATTCTATTCAGCGGCAGTAATAAACTGATGACGACTTACTTCTATATTCAACAGTGTAATATTGACAAATATCGCCCAAAGTAAACATACCAATGTAATGAAACCAGATGTTAAATAACGTAAACGACGTTTACATGCTGGATAATGTAATTCCATTAAACCGGTAACACGACTCTGTCTCCAAATACCATGAAAATTTGGTCTTTGATCAATTAAATTAAATAACCATACCAAATCATTTGCAGCTAATTCGATTAAAGCATTCCCAGACCATCGATCAACACATGAAAGATATTCACGTTGCCATAGTTTAGTACAGATAATAGCCCATAGAATCATAAATATTGAATAGATCATATGGATGCATAAAGATATTTGGTTATCATTAAATAATTGTTCATTTAAATAATTGAATATTTGACAAAACAATCCAGCAATTAATGGACATATTAAATAGATACAATACAATTTCATCCATACGAAATAGAATCCAATTGAATCACCAAAATATTGTCGTAATTTTTCAGAATTTGGAAATAAGTGTACAGTAGTAAAATAATCTTTCCATATAGATCTTCTCTCCACTTTATCATGACTTCTTATTAAATCAACAGTTAATCCTAAACACTCTAAGATGAATAAAGCAGGACGATTCAACGATATCAATTCATCAACAGTATCCATTAATTCTAGCGGTAAATTTAAATCATTTATTAAACTTTCCACTTGTACTTTGGATAAGATTAAACTACGAATAGCCAATTCAGCAAGCCAAGCAGTTTGTCCATTAGTTAACTTTTCAATACAAACATTGAGCTCTGTTTAAAAAAGATATACACACAGCATGAGGAGAAAAACATACAGATTAAATCAATCAAAATGGTTAAGTGGAAAATAAATACTAAATAAATAAGTTTTTTTTTCAAGACATTTTCCATTACGCAATGATATCAGTTGAAATGGATGAAATAACAACCAGAGTCAATTTGCCACACTTCATAGTAGTACACAAAGAACACGTGGATAGAAAACGGTCAGTGAAAATATTCAAGCTTTAGAAGACATCTGTCAAAGAGTGAATACATCTTTGTAATTGTGACTAGTTTTCAGCCATTCCATCAACAGACCTCAACCACTCATTCCTTTCATCTTGGGGACCCCAACCATGTGGTGTACATCTCCCACACGTGTCACGCCAACATTCGACTAGGTGCTGCTCCGAACTCTCTTCCAAACCAATTCAGCTTCCTCTAGCATTGCACGTCGATTCGACATGTGTAACACATATCCAAGCCATCCCAGTCGATGAAAGTTCACAATCTAATCAATAGTCTTGCCTATTTTGCTCATACGGTGATTCTACTAGACAGTTATTTCATTATAGAATACCCTCATTCACTTTTTCAAAATTACTGAATCCATATTAGATTTCAATTTGTCAGCAGAGAAAATGTTATAAGCTCAGATGCTAATTTCTTAATCAAACCTCAAATTACTTTGTCGTATCTTCTTCATCTCTTGATTTCACTACCCGCTTGTTTTACCCTAGTTACTTAGGTAACTTTCATTCCTAACGTAATCCTAACAGGTTATACTTCACTTTGAGTCGTTAAAATAGGCTATGAGTGAGCCTCCTTGAAGCGAGAATATTTTCAGCATCACTGTCCATTTTCAGTCTGAGAAAGAGGTGAAATGTTACACACTATACACATTTAATAACGTGACAAATATGTATAATGCTATAGATTTATTTCTGGAATTATAGAGATAGCGCATGCACAATTGACAAGCGAATAAGAACATATTTATCGTTCTTGCATGTGTCAAGGATATATACTGCTGAGAATTCTGAGATTATGACAGGGAATAGCTAATTAATACTTTTTGATTTTTAACAATTCTCAAGTTGTTTTCATTCTTTAATGAAAACTACCAGTAAAAGGTAATTCATTTCTCGTTTCTGATGAAATTATATGACTAGGAACCATACTACAGTAAAACTTTCGAGTCTTAATTGTTTGATACCTACTTATTATTATTTTTTTTCCCTTCGGTTTCTAGTGGAAAATAGGGGTTCAGCAGCACGCCTCCATTGCACTATCTTCTCTGCAGTCTTTTGAATCTCGCTTCACGACTGCCGACAAGCTTTCATTTTTTCCTCACATGATCTCCTCCATGTCACCCTCGTCTCGGACACCCAACTCGTCGTTTCCCCTTTGGATTCCACTCGAGGGTCTGGCGCGTGATATCCCCAATCGGCCTTCTCAGTGTATGCCCAATCCATCTCCACTTGATACCTACTACTAGAAGAAATTTCTTCTTGGTAAAAACACCTGTCATGGTTCATTTAATCGATTGAAACCAATAAACACCATATTTATACAGGAGAGTGTATATTAATACAATAGAAAAAGCACTCAGAACTCTTTATAGAAGGGTGAAAATTAAACATGACAAACCAATGAAATAACTGTCGAAATTAGGTGATTTGTTTAGTATGTCAAATATCGACTGAACGATATTCAGCGAGAAAGTACGGTTGCTTTACTGGTACTTGTAATTTCCCGTTGCAATGGTGGGTTGAATTGACCGACCTCTGTTGGCAGATGAGTTCCTATTTGGGTGCCTCGATACTGTCTGGATATTCATTATCATAATTCACTTGGTTGCGGCTAGTAGAAGAATCCAGGAGGCGTGTTTCATTCTACTTAGGACTCGTCAGCTGGATGTACCTAAACCTCAGTGAACTGGTGTTGTCTCCACTGAGACTCGAACGCAGTACCCATCGCTTCATACACCAGGGCGTTATCCACTGGTGCACAAGATATAACATATTTGATCATTTTTACGCATGTTTGCTTAACTTATAACAGTAGCTTTTGGTTATAGCGAACAACACTCACTGGGATGTAGACACATCCAGCTGACGAGTCCCAAACAGGGAGAAACACGCATCCTGGACTCCACTCCACTCCAAACAAGTTACCATTATAAATTTAATCCGACAACTTAAGGAAGTAGGCATATTTTAGTAAAACATCAAGTTCACCATACGTATACTATACTGTAAACCGGTAGTCTGAACAATTCTCAACAATCGTTTAGTTTTTATGCATTCTTTTACAAAGGTATAAAAATGACTTCCTTTGTAATTTCTTTAAAATTCATTTGAGTGAAGTAACTTCTTGTTTCCACTGGGAAAAAAAGTGTCAATAACTGTAGGAGGCCTATCAATCTTTGTATATTATGTGTATGTGAGATACTCCTTTTTCATTGAGATAAAACTTTACATAAATATATGTAGCCAGAATATTTAATTATCTGAGGGACATGCACCTGGAATACTCATCTACTACTGAATTTTTAATCTATTTTCCCAAGACCTGCATTTCTAAGGAACATTTTAATCAGTCTTCTCGACGTGAACAACCGCTGAAGAGCTCTCGTTCAATATCACTAACTTCCAACTCCACTTTTCTTTTCATTCCCTATCTAACAAATCTCTTGCATACTGAATTTTTCAGCAAGCAAATCAAACTTGAGTAAGCACTTGAAACACACTGAATGAAAGCGAATAATATGCAGCTCATTCTGTATACAATGGATATCACTTTACAATATAGCAGATTCTAGCAAAGCCAACGGTTTCGAATGACAGCATGTCGAGCCCATTTAACGAATAAGCCAGTATGGTGTTTAGTCTTTTGAACGCCATTAAAGAATGTGCAGAGCGCTTAGCACACAAGCACTATTCTCTTTTTTAAATATAAACTTACTACTTCAAAACCTGTCTACACTGAAATTAAGTGACTACCACCACCACCACCACTATCAACATACGACCAGGCATTACTGCGTAACGGTCCGATTTGCCACAGAGGTTGAAGTAGTCAAAATGCATTCAAAAACCTTGTTCACGTTTGAGAAGTAGGCAATGAGCTACGCCAATTGTATGAGGGCTACTGATGATATTACTTGGCTTCCCAAACCTCAGTAGGTGGAGCGTGGTTCGAACACGTTACCCACCGGTTGAAAGTCATCTTAAACCAATGATCCACAGTTCCAGCTGGTGAATTCAACGGCTGCTTTACCTTCATGGATACTTTTATTACTCGTGACTTGTTTGATAACATTGACATTCGGATAGGATTCGCCAACTGACAGCAATTATGAAGTCAGTATGATGTCTATTCAACCACGAAATGGCAGTTATTTACTAACAGAACCAAAAGGTTTGAATATGCTAACATTAATTACTAAGCTCATATATCGTACACATATGATGAACAGTAAGCAAACATAACACATGTTGTTCTACTGTAGTGCTGCTACTGATAAGAATGGATATAAGTAGTATATGTTGAGAAGGCGGCAGAAATCATAGGCAATTACCAGCGATGGGTAAATATTCTGTCCAAAGAAACACAACAGACAATGACGAAGAGCAAAACGAGAGAGAAGCAGAAAAGAAAATGAAGCCCATTGCGCAAATGACTATTTTAGTGTAAAGTGTACAATATTTGATGACTACTGTACAAGATTTCATAATAAACACTCTCCTGCGTCTCATCCTTTGTTGTTTTCTTACAATACCAATTACAACTGGAAGACCTGTCTAACCAGCTAGTATCATTATGACCAGATAATTGTAGATCACTTATTGACATGAGTTGAGTTGTTGAGTAGAATTTTTGATTAAAGTGAAGCTGAAAGCAGGTTAGAAGTAAGGTTGGGCATCTGAATCAGCAATCTGGAGACCACACGTCAAAAAACCCTGTCACGACTTAGGCACTTGTTTCAACTTCAGTAATCATCTCAAATTACTAGTTTTTTTATGCTATGCATTGTAAAATAGCATATTAAACAGAACATGGGGAACCACATCTAGAAACCTGCATATGACAGAATGAATGTATGGAGGACATAACTAACCTTGTTTATTAATTGATAAGTCTGGTCTTAGCAATGAAGTACATTGTTTAAGCCACAACTTGGGTATATATATTAATACAAAGTGTGTAGAGTGAATACAATTATAAGATACATCATTTTTTGATATTTCATTCAATGTACAACATGGTGTAAATGTTGGCAAGTGACCACATTCAATATTCAATTGTTCATTATCACTTGAATTAAAAGCAGACATTAAACGATTTTCCATTAGAGAAATTTTAAAACAATCAATCAATTTGTGGACAACACGTATTTGATAAATATCATTAGCATAGTTTTGGTGTTTTAAAGATTTTGGTATGGTAAGACAAAACCTTACACCTGAATTTGACATTGTTTATTCACCAACAACAGTAATGCAATATCTAGTTGACAGAGAAGAGAAAAAGTATATTTAATTATGATTCAATGATCAGTAAAGTTGTGACATACATCTGGAAAGTAAAACTGTATAATTTTATGCATAAAAATAAGAAAGACTACCATTTGTTTAAGCAACAAAGACGACAGACTTTATGTGAGAAGTTAGAGCGGTTTGAAAAAGAACCCAATTTTAGACTTATATATATATATATATATATATATATATATATATATATATATATATAAAACAGGAAAAAACCAACCTCCCAGCACACAAGTAGATAGGTTCAAGTTACCACACTTCACAGTAGCATATAACGAACAAGTGGATAGAAAAGGAGTGATATCAAAGTAGACAAAGTTGTGCGAGAGAATAGACAATTTGAAGAGGAAAATTAGCGCAGATATTCAAGCTTTAGCAGACATCAGTCAGAGGAGACCCCAACCTAACTTTCTACACCTCCTAACGTAGTTGAAACCAAAAGTCAGAGACCTCATTAAACCTCTTCCAACCTAATACGACTTCTCCTAGCACTGCATGTCGAGGTAGGCGGTCGCTCGACATATGCAGTACATGTCCAAGCCATCTTAGTTGATGAAAGTTCACAACCTCATCTATCGATAATTCAGCTTTCCGAGCTGAATAAACCAGGGTACACCGCCAATAAGCTTGACACTAGACGAGCAAGACAACTGTCTAGTGTTCAGATCACCTTCATCTGGGTAGCAAGTACATCTAGTCCAGTACAACTTTTATACTCGCAATCTTGATGCCATTTACGGTTTCTAACAGATATATTTTGATTTCCATAGGAAACTATGGTGAGATTTCTTACTATAAACTGTGCATTTCGCAAACACCTGATTTCAATCTTGATACTTGCAACTAAACTGGCACCTCAAGTTATTATTCATAAAAAAAGATATTACTGGGAGACGTTCATGTACTAGTGACCTTTTAATCGATAGATGCGCTACTCATCACTCCACCAATGACTTCTGACTACAAACTGTCTACTGACTAGTGCTTATGTGTCCATTCACCACTGCTCGTGCATCAAGATAGCTTTCTCAGCATATTCTAACATGGCCCCAACTGAAGGATTAAAGTGTTTTCAGTGCATAATATCTTTTCAGACTTTAGTTATCTATCCTACGGTAGGCTTTTAATATCAGTTGTTAAAGGGTTCAATCAAAATATTTTGAAGAACCAACAAATGATAATAAGCGTATATTATGCTATCATTGAACTACTGATTGTCTGAGTTTCGCAGAAGCTATGGCTAGGTGATAGCTAGGAGTTTAACAGTCATTTTCTCTTCTGCTTCTATATCGATTTGCTCTGAATACTCCCACATTATCTCTTGCGTTTCTCTTAAACTCTTAGCTATCGCCTAGCCATAGCTTCTGCAAAACTCAGACAATCAGTAGTTCAATGATAGCATAATATACGCTTATTATCATTTGTTGGTTCTTCAAAATATTTTGATTGAACCCTTTAACAACTGATATTAAAAGCCTACCGTAGGATAGATAACTAAAGTCTGAAAAGATATTATGCACTGAAAACACTTTAATCCTTCAGTTGGGGCCATGTTAGAATATGCTGAGAAAGCTATCTTGATGCACGAGCAGTGGTGAATGGACACATAAGCACTAGTCAGTAGACAGTTTGTAGTCAGAAGTCATTGGTGGAGTGGTGAGTAGCGCATCCCAAAGTACTGCCTACCTCGATGTGAAATGTTGACAAAAATCGGACTGGGTTGGCTGAGGGTGACGAAACCAAGACGCAACACCACTTCATGAAGTCTCTGGCTGTTGGTTTGAGCCATGTAGTGGGGTGAAGACAATGGTACTCGAGATAGGAGAAGATAGGAATGAATGGCTTACGACTCTTGATGAAGTTGCTGAAAATTGGTCACAATGGCGCAGATCTATTCACTATTTCACTGACGTCTTCTTAAGCTTGAACGTTTTCACTAACCTTCATTTTCAGATTCCTTCTTCTCTCATACACCTTTGTCTACTTCGATTTCAGTTTTTCTCTAACCATGTGTACTTTACAAGCTGTTGTTAAGTGTGGCAATTTGAACTGATGAGCTTCTGTATGAGGTTATATGTTGATTTTGTCTATTTGTCTGTCTCATGACGTAATGGTACAACCTTTGGAAAAACCCCATAAATTATCATAAAATACGCTTCTGGCAATACATGAATATTTATTAAAAGTTTTTTACGATCAAAAATAATGGCTAACAACACACACAGTAACAATTCATCATAAACATGAAAGAAATCATATCACAGGGTATACACATAGGACTTTCTCTTGAGGTTAAGTTAAGAAATGTAATCGCTTTTCTATTTTAAGCAGTCTCATGGCGGTTACTTGAGTGAGCCTATTTTTATTTAGCTAACTACCAACGACAAAAACAGATAATGATAATTGAGAAGTATAAACACACTAAACGAGAGAATATTCTGTTCACAAATGTCATAAAGTTGGATTTAGTAGCTATTTAACTGAAATTTCTCATTACTTCAAGCTATTAAGAAGCATAGTTACTGCTACGCCACCAACCAAGATATCATGGAACACTAACAGATGTTGAACTAACTCAGCTATCCTGTCACTGGACTACATACCAGTCTCGGTGTGGACCACAAAAGTGCACGCATAGGGTTATCTGTAAGTGGAAGTAGTATCACGTACACAGCACTGAACATGAAAACATCCTCATATGACGGTAGTTAAATTGTCTAGACGTACAGTGAAGCTTCGCTTATAAAAGGACATCTAGACTTTCACAGTCAGATGAAAGTCTTAGTGGCGTTAACGGTGCCTTATACTGCCATACACTGCTTGGAAAGTTTAATATATCGGGCTATTACAATATAGTATAGTATGTTCAATACAGCGATATAAAATACTTCATTAAAATATCTAACCTTGACAGAAATGCACACACGTCAAGAGTCAGCCCCATTCTAGATAGAATACTTTTACTTTCTTCAACGTTTGATGAAATTTAAAGATTTGTCAAAAATGTTTTCAATCAACCACTCCTCCATCTACACTTTGCTTGTATATCACTTACCTAGGAAGTAGGATCAACCCTGGTGGGTCAGTTGCCGATGAGATTTCGGCACGGATACAAAATGCTCGATTGGCTTTTGCCAATTTGCGCCACCTATGGCGCCGCCGTGATATTCGTTTGTCTATTAAGGGTCGCATGTACTGCACAGCAGTCCGCTCTGTTCTACTGTATGGCTGTGAAACATGGTCATTGAAAGTGGAGGATACAAAAAGGCTTCAGGTGTTTGATCACCGTTGCCTTCGTAGTATAGGACGTATTCCGTGGTGTCACCACATGAGTAATGCAGAAGTTAGGTGTAGAGTTTTGGGGAGAAGAGGTAAGTCAGTCGACGATGTTGTGAACCTTCATCGACTGAGATGGTTGGAACACGTACTACGTATGCCTAGTCACCGATTGCCTCGTCACACAATGTTGGCTGAGGTGGGTCCAGGCTGGAAAAAGGCCCGAGGTGGCCAGACTAAAACATGGCACCAATGTATGAAGTCTCTGACTGTTGGTTTAAGCCATGTAGGACGATGCAGACTAGGTGGTTGGGGTCCACGGGACAAGAGGAACCAGTGGTTGGAGACCCTAGGTGATATGTCTCAGAACCGAAGTCAGTGGCGCAGATGTATACACACATTATCCTCATCTTAACAACGCTATACCGAATCTCACCATTTTGTCACTCCTCTTTCCTTTCCTCTCGTACTTTATATTTCTTTTGACTGCATTCACTTATCTTCATCCTTCACCTCACTACCTTTTTACTTGATGTGCTGATATGAGGTGTGGCAACTCGGACCGTTACGCAGTAATGCCTGGTCCTATGTTGATAATGATGATGATGATGATGATGTATATCCATTTGATTAACTTTTTAGTATCTTATTTTTTGATAGAATTTCCGAAGCTATCACGTTGAAAGTGGGCTAATCTATCTTTATAAGGGATTTAAAAGCTTGGATTTAAGTTGTTTAGTCGCTTTATGCGAAAGTCTCACTGAAAAAACACCAACAAATAACATCTAGGTAGTGTCGGACAGTAAATGACCGAAAGACAAATAGATAAATCACAGTGGGTGGCTGTCATTATGGTTGACTTGAAGTTGCTTCACTTAGGGCCTTTAAATGTTAATATTGCATAACTGCAGATCAATATACGGACAGTTGGCCTATATCAGTATGGTCATTTGAAGTATGTAGTCACTGTTTAAAAAAAGTAGTAATAATCTCATTATTTCTGGTAAAAATAAATATGTAGGCAGGAAGTGTTTGACGAAAGGAGCTCAGGCACAACTGTCTTTACCCAAGAAATGAACACCAAACATTTGTAATTAATATCCATAATATTCTTCTCTAAATAATCATTTCCGGCACTTCAGTCACTTATCTGAGCTAGTCGCATTCCAAATATTGATGCTAACGTACAAGCAAATGGGAAATAAAAGGACTCTACATGTCTAAACAGTACTAGGTGCCCTTTAAGAAAGCAAGTGAAGAATAATCTAACCTTTGACTTTCCTTTAGCTTATTACCATTGTCATAACGAGCTAAGAAAAACACTCTACCTTCTTATTTTTACAATACTGTCACTCTTACTTACCAATGACAGCACCCAATGTTTGTACTTTTAAATAATTAATCATTAGAGTACTAAGTGGATGAAGCAAGCAACTTTTCAATATTCCCCAAAAATTCTTTTTACGTACAAGACTTCGTCCAGTTTACATTGAGGAGTAGAGCTTGCCTAGTTAAGTTTGAAGACAACTTTTCATCTGTAACAAATGAGAGATACCACTGGATTTTCTTTGTTAGCCCTAAATTAGAAATGAAGAGTTTCACAATCACTCATCAGATTGAATGACGGTAAGTGTTTGCATAGATTTTAATGTTAAGTTTGAAGTTATACACCAATTAATCAGACACTTAATTCAGAATGGGTAGGTAAAATGCTTAATCTGGTGCTACATATCTCATTTTGAACATCCATTTAGCACCGCTACACTTCATAATACCGATGTGGCACACATCTTATACTGGATTTATAAAGTCTCATTTATGCTTCATAACTTAGTTACTAATCTGAGATCATTAACCCTAGTATGGGTAAAAAAACGTGACTGCTTTACGTAGAGGAGGACCAGTCCTGAACTAATCTACATCAATACTCATTACTCACTTACCTAGCCATTACTTAAATTTAACAACTGGTTCAAATTGGAGTGTTACGTATACTAACCACATCACTTACCATGGTAGTCGTATTAGTATTGTAGGATTCACGGGTGAAGAAACCTAGATACAACTGCAGACTTCTGGGTCGAATCTTAAGTGAATACTACTTATGGTGCTAGTGAAATTTTCGCCTGATTACCGGTGCTAACTACATTGAGTAGTGGTTAGTCCTATCTTGGCATACAATAATTAAAGACATATAACATGTCACATATTTGACCAGCCGTAACTTTGCAGTACTTCCCATGCATGGCAATAACGTGTACGAATTCATTAATGAGAACTGAATTATCAATAAAGTGAACGTGTCAGTTAAGATACTTTTCAGCAATACATTTAGTCTTTCCTTAACATTAAGGGTAAAAGTAGGACAAAAGCACATAGGCCACAAAAATATCATACGTCGACCCAAGAAGTCACCATTTGCTTTTTCATATTATGTGAAGGAAATTTAAGCTCCCTTATCGAAGCGCTTAGAATCTGTTGGATAGCAGGGTTCTAATGTGGTCGTAGAGACTCTAAATCTTAAGGATTGTAATAATCTGACACTGCAGCAATAATCTTCTATGGTCTTATATTTTTACCTTTTTTGGTCTGAGAATAAGTAAAATGAAACTTAGTGACCCACTCCATATTCGTACAATAGTATATGAACCACATGCTATATGACTAACCCCAATACTCGGTTGACTTAATCGACGTAGATCAAGTGAAGTTGCATCTGTTGAGCAACTGAAATTTAACTGCCTACAAAACAGTCATTGACCAATCCTTTTAGCCATTAGCATGATTGTAGTTATATTATTGATGTAATAAAGAGGTACCATTTATCCTAAGCTATCCTGAATGCAGATATAGAACCCATATATTTACACTAATACAAAGTTTGAGGCCAGAGTCAACAGAATTTCAAAACTCTAGGTTGGTTTGCGAACTACAAGGGATATGATTCAGTCAAACCACAAGTCAGACAAATTTAAACATTAGAAGTCTGTGAGCTGTTGCGGATTAAGATACTTAAAAAGGAAACACCAATAATTGCAGGCAATTTTAAAGTATACAAACTTACCAAACACGTAGATGAGAATCAATAAAACTACTCGCTGACTACGTACAATTTAAGCCCCAAACTACAATCAACATTGATGCTAGCTGGTTGTCCAAACTTACACAGGAATCCGTTAAGGTTACAATCAAGGTCTTTAGACCAATAAACTACAGTTTTGTAGCGAACTAAATGACATTATAAACATCCAGGCTATAATTGTTATGAATGTCCTGAAACGTTCAGAAAAATCTTGTTTTTGATTTTTTTTAACACTCTGGGATTATATTAAAACTTACTTATATGATGAACTAAATGATGGTTAAAAACTGCAAGTGAAAAAAGAGCATGCATACATGATGGATATCTATACCGCTTAGCACAAAGATGCAGAATTATTTCCGGATACCCCTGTGTAACCCGATTTGAGGACTAGGTCAAATAAACTGTAGATATTTGTCTACTAGCTATAATTAGTATAGTGACACAGAAACATTGAGCGCTTCTATGAAGAGCAGCTAAAACGTATAGTTTATCTGTGGGAAAGATCTGATAGTTAGTCAGAAAATATTAAAGATTGACGTCAGTGGCTTACCATCCCAGCGTTCAGGTGATAAAAAACTTCTAACGGTCAAACGATCATGTTTATTTAATGTATTTCCTTAACAGTGTTAATCTAACACTGATAGCTGGAATAAAGTACAGGTCAAAACGAGGGAAGATCGGTAAGGGTTTGGAAAGCAGAAGTGTTTAGTGAAGCATATTCATATAACTATTCCACCAGATGAACTTAAGTAACTATAAAAACCATAGCAAACCACTTGTTGACTGAAAGGCATAAATACCATACAACTATCTACAAAAACAAAGTGGTCTCATTTTCAGAAAAACATTAGATGGAGGCACTGGCAATCAACTTCATCCACACCAACTTTCACCAAGTGAAGATATCATCTCAAGTTTAACATAACAATTTTCCGCAGTGAAACTACCGTTAGATATCAGCCTAAAGTATTTGAGAACGAAGTAGTTGGAAAACTTAGAAAAAGGCCCACAATTTTTATTGTAAATGCAACTAAAAATAATTGGCATTGTTCTTCCCTTTAGTCTCAGTAGGAAGTAATATGTTGCAAATAAACAGTTATTCGTGCATAATGGGATTACACTAGGCATATAAGACAACAACTATTTGTTACGATACATTCTTATTAAGCCATACTTCACGATATAGATTAACCACTGACAAATCACAAATGCTACTGGAATAACTGATGTGGAACCACCTCGTTGGTGCAGTTTACAATAGAGTTTGTAAACTATCTTTAATAGTTGACTTGCATGTCCTTAAATAGTAAACAGTGGAGAGCTGCCGTTTTAGCAGATGGGCGTATTTCCAGAAAACAAAATCATAAGGCAAGGCTCAATTACATTTCTATGGATACGTTGCTGTGCACCTACTTTTGCCCAACGCTGTATTAATCAAATAGATATTTTCAAAAATCATGGTGTCTGAAGAAAATCTTCGGATGGCACTGGAAAAACCTGACTTGAACAATGACGTTTCTAATGGGTATTTTAAAAGCAAGCATGATACTGTTCAATTATAAAACGATACTTATGATATCTGCATAATGTTTTGAGAAAAAATGTATCAAGCACATAAAAACATAAGAGCTACAAGTTCTAAAAAGTCAAATGATTTAGAATACATTTATTGTCCAAGTTCGCAAACACAAGGATTTAGCTCAATATGATTCGTGAGAAAATAAATACTGCAAGCATAGATTATCAACAACTAAAACAGGGATAAAACAGGAAACAGTGACAAGATATGGAGTAAATCAGCGGAAAGCAGAAAATGAAGAGAAGAAACTTTGAAGGGAAAAACCAGTTTACAGCCTGCGTAACATGATACTTGGAGAGTAGCACAAAGATATATAGGGACAATAAGGCAGCAGAAAGTGAATTTATAAATACAAATGTAAAGGTGTGCATATTATAGCTTCGAAAGTCAATGTCATACCGCCGCGTGGCTGATCAGCATATTTCTAACATCTTCCGATGTTGCGCACTCAGCATACGTTAAACCGTCTGGGGCCATCCCCAATTTTGCTCCCTAACAAACACTACATACTGAGGAATATGTACTTACATTCTTCAGTAGTAGAGATACACAATCTACGTGGCCTTCATAAACGGCTGCTAGCAGAGGTGTGACTCCAAACTTATCACTTGTCTGTTATAACGGATAGTCAAATAGGGCAGTGTAACGTACATTGACATCCGCACCATTACGTATGAGGTAATCACATATTTCTTTCTGGCCATAATCGGCAGCATAATGCATAAGAGTCCTCCCACTGCTCTTAAAAGTTGAATTCACACTGGGTATCTAAGACGTAATTAGCATTTTGAAAAATTACACATTTTATGTTCTCCTTGATCGTTTGCA